GTCGCATCACGCACGGCGCCGGGCTCTCGAGCAACACAAGCACGAAGCTGGCTGAGCAGTCAGCAGTCCCATGCCCGCTGAAATCCGGCCAGATCTTCAAGACGCCTGCCTCCCCCGCTGGAAAGCCACATCTACTGCCAATTTCGAAGCGGGGAGCATTTCAAACATGTCTCGAGGTGCAGATCAAGTTGCAAATGATGGGCAGATCTGGCCACACTTGCCGCGCATCGCCCTCTCCCTCGAGCTGGAAAATAAGGGCAGCGTGGCCAGAGATCACCTTGCGCTTGAACGTACATTGTAAGTGCCAAATTTCCTCTGAGCATGCTATCGGCAATTTGACATTGCATGTCTCGCCCGCCCCCACCCCCACAGTTTGGCCTGGCTGCGAACGTCTTTGGGTCTAGTGTCTATTGGAATCGCAGTAGCGCAGCTCTTGCGCATTCCATCCCTTGCAAGCTCGCCCAAAGCTTTCTGCTTCTCTGACAACAACATCTATCAGATTCAACAGTCTCATCAGCAAATACTCGAGGCTCTGCGTTCACGCGATGCGTCCGCACCGCAGGACACCTTCACAAGAGAAGAGGTGATGCGCATGCTGCAATTCGCATCGACGCAAGACGCTTCCATCGCTCCCGAAAAGCTGTAAGTGCGATCGATCGATCGATCGTACATGCCCCCTGCACGGCCACCTTTTCGTGTGTCTGATGCTTCCCCACTTTTATTGTCTGTGTCGCTATTTGCGATGCAACTCAGTGGCAAGCCGATCGGATGCGTGTGCATAGCCCTGGGTGCGCTCAGTTTGCTCTTTGGCACATATCGCTTCTTCAAAGCGCAGCGCAGTCTCATCCAGGGCAACTTCCCACCATCTCGCGCTTCCGGTGCGTATCTGCAGCGCCTCGTGCCACCCCCTCCCCCTCCTCCCCTTTCCACTCAAGCTGACTGTTCCGCTTCAACGTTCGCCTGCTCGCCTGCTCGCCCGCTCGCTGTCCATCTCGCATTCTCGCAGTTTCCATCATGGCTTTCCTCACCGCAGCTCTCATCGTCTCTTGCTTCATCGTCATCGTATACACACGCTCAGCTTACACTGGCTCCCGCTCCTTGAGCTGGCTCCTGTACCCATACTGAAAAGCAGCAATTGGTACGTCGCCGCGTCGTCTCCACGAGGCTGGATACGAGTCGTGAACATGCGAAAACAGGCGCATACATTGCAGAACATCGGCCAACACAGCAAGCAGTGCGTGAGCGCAATCACAAAGAGATGCACCAGGTATGATTATAGAAGAGCGTGTGCAGGTGTGGTAAGCGGTCCGGAGACTACGATGGTTTCGGGCAAGAACGAAGTGTGGCGGCGTGCGAAGCACGCAAGGCTTGTCTTATGAGACTGTGGTGCCAGCCTTGGCTGCGTACTCTACCGCATTCGTCGTGACGAGCGGATCGCCACCAATTTGAACAGCCTCTTCCGGCGGTAGATCGTGCTGGCCGTCATTCTTCTCTCCTCGCCTTCGTCTCAAATCCTCGGCAGCATGAGGGTCCTTGAGTGCCGTGGACGATCCGCTTGCCGCCTTCGCGTCCTTGCCCCAAGTGCCTTTCTTTTCCTTGCCGAGCGCTTTGAGCTTGTCGAATTTTTCCTTTGAAATCCTCGTTCCAAACACGGTATCAAAGTGAACGAAAAAAGGTTGAGAGTAATTGTACTTGAGGCCTTGCATTTGATGATGCACGTCGTGATACTCGGCGCAGTTAGGGAAGAGGAGGTGCAAAGGGTCAAGCCATGGTGGAAATGCGTATCCTCCGTGATCGCAGACAGTTTTGAATGTGCTAAACATGAACAGCACCACTCCCTGTCTGATCGTCATCAGCGCCGCAGCGTGGGCGAGCGCGGCGCCGGCAGAGTCTAACAGCAGACCTGTGAGCGTGCGGATGGAGGAGTGGGGAGATTGCTACTTAGCATGCGCGGATGTATGCTTCTCTCGAGGCAGCTTTCTTTCCGCCATGATGCTTCCCAGCTACGAACCTTCTAGTGGATGATTGTACAACGCTCCGTAAGCGTACGGAACGTAAAGGCGGTGATGATGCGAGTGAAAGTGGCGATACAGAAATCTGCTTTCGTGAAACAAGCGGTGCAGTCCGTACTGCCAAGCATCCATCACAAAGCTATGATCAGGGCAAGACGCATCAGCAAGAGCAGTCCACAGAAGCCTCTCATATCCTGTGCGCAGCTATGGCATCGACTCCGCATTCAGCTCGTACGCGCACAGCGATACTCACAAAGCCCACCAAAATTGAACGACTGGAATGCCCCACCAGTAGATAAAGTGGACTGTCGAAGGACCCGCCACTTTCAAAAAGCTGAGACCATTTGAATTACCCAACAAGCCGAGCGCAGCGCTGGACACGTAGGCAGCAATGTCCCTCATTCCCTCCTGATGATCTCTGGCGTTCTCAATCGCAGACTGACTGCCATCCAGCACCATGGCGCCTAGGCCGACCTGTATGGCATGCTGAAGCATGACCATGGCCGCCACTTTCCAAGGGCCCACGCGATTCCTCGACGTCACCTCTTCGGGCTCGTGCAATCTGTACTGCTCAAAGAAGGGTAGCTGGATGTAGTCCAGGAAGGCGAACCAAGCTGATGCCAGCCAGTAGAGCACGACGGGGCCCAAGACGGAGAAGTACTTGTCCGTCATGAATGGCACCAAGCGTTCCGATGGTGTATGGTACCATGGTGTGCTGACTGGTGTTGGAACCAGATATAGACTGTCTGCTGCAGACACTGTGGATCTGAACCAGTGACTTCCACTCGAGACATTCATGGTGGCGACACCTAGACAGGTGCGTATATGCGTTCAGTCTGCCCCGTCGATGACGAGGTGCAGGTGCTGTGACACTGTGGCGGCACTTGACTTGGCGTGTAGCGATGGGAACAGAGTGATGCTGTGCGATGTGCGGGAGTCGAAGCGTTGAATGCAGGGCGTAAGGATGGAGATGCCGAAGGGGCTGCGCGGTGCGTGTCGGATGAGCGGGAGATGTAGGGGCAAGAGGTATGGTAGGTGTGTGAATAGGCGAGATAAGGGGGGGGTGAAGTTCAGCGTTGCACAAGTAGAGTGGTGCTGAAGCGTGGGATGTGAGGTAGTAGCCACGATTGGTGA